GAAGAGAGTCCTAACCTCCATTCCTAAAGTTAATCTTATCTGTATGTGAGTTCTGATTTATAAACTTCTACTGTACGTCAGGCTCAGTACAAGATACCCACACCAACTGATCTTTTAATTAGTCCATGTGGACATACTGTAATTTCTGCTGTATGGAAAATCTTGTTTGTTTTGCCTCTTGTTGAATTTCCCTCTTAAGCATCAAAGGTATTCATAATTTATAAAGATTTTTATGACTTACAATAGTCATGCCTTACACATACACCTTTCTGTCTTTTACATAAGGATAAAATATTGAAAAACTGTTATAATACAAAAGTAATTTATGGAATTATAACAGTCATCTAAACTATCCTGATGCATGCGCAATAATCCTGGTAGAAAAATTTAAAAAAGTTAAGTCTGTTCTGGTTTTGAATATCCAGGAGACCATACTTAACTTTTTTAGTGCCATCTAAATTTTTTTACAATTGTATTTATTTGATTTATTATACTAAATTTACTGCATTTGATTGTATTATGTTTTAATTTCTTTAATTCAGTTTTAAATGAAACTTCAGCTTGTACTTTACACTGTAGGTGTCAACATGCCTTGTTTCTGAACTGGCTTTATGAATTATCATACTTATAAGAATGAAACAATGTGTAACTTGTATTTTTCAAATAAAAATGTTTTTGACTTGGATGGTTACAATCTTGATGAGGAATTTTGGTTCTCAACCTGCAAGATCATAGACTTTTAGTTGAAATTCGACATCTACAGCTCCCATGGGTGCTTTGTTTCATTCCAGATTGAATGATACTATCTTTCATAAAAAAGGTGGCTATTTAGGGAGTTGTTCCCTTACCCTCTCCCTCTAAGTAATTATTAGTTCTGACCACCATCCACCATGAAAGGTAGGCACCGATGGTTTTAAAACATGAGCGTGTACAGGGGGTGGGAGGAATTGGGGGCTTGAGGTTGATGTCAATGTAACATATGGGGTCATTCCGATTATTCGGTGCCATTTGACCATGGTAACTGTGTAAAAAAAAAGTTTTGTTGTTCTTGATTTTATTTTTTAATCTTATGATGGGCCTGTTAGACTATAAAAAAATTATATTGGTCAAGTTGAGGATATCATGTTGCCCTGCTTTTTTATCAAATTCTTTGCACAAGACAAGGATCAAATGTCCACCCTGTTACAGGACATTTTTATTTGAAATGAGTTAGTGTTTTGAATGGATAATTATTTACAATTTCCATTTTCCAAGAGCTGCCGTGTCCCTAACTTTGCTTTTTAAATGCATTTTTAAAAGCAGTATTCATAAATTAACATTATCTAGAAATTAGGCTTGTTATTGTGAAGTCACAATGTAAATTCAATCCATCCATTTAAGAATAAAACACAATTTCAATGAAACTTGACTCCAATTTTTATTGATTGATTTATGTAATTTATTCACTTTCAGTATTCACAAACGAAGCAGAATCCTTGTGGTTTTTATTAAATTTGTTTTTAAAAACACACAGGTAACAGGGGGGACCAAGGAGAAACGGGGGGGGGGGGGGGGGGTTACAAATAAAGCAGTTCCCAATCACATCACAACAGGAGAAATGTGTCCACATCAGACTTCACCATCCAATGGCATGCACCCCCAAAATAAACATTGCAGATGATTTTAATTTCTAATTTCAGAGAGTTATCAAATTCAGTGACTGAGATGTTTTTTTCCCCAAAAAATCCCTTACCTTTTTCTTTCAGCTGGATAGACCTTTTGTTTAGGTATTGTGGCTCTTTCATTAGGCACACAATCTGGTCATCTTTGTACCAGCTAATGTCCTCTTGTGAACTTGACCAGAAAAACTTGTTGGCTCCATTCTTATGCATGCATTTCACATTATTATCTTGTTCAACCTCCAGGATGATTCCTGGGTATGGTTCACCATCGTAACAGACAACACACCACTGCCCAATGTTTTCTTTTATGTTAACTTAAGGCCTTGAGGGTTCATGTGGATGTTCCTTTTCTCTCATGCTCACTTGTTTCAGTCCATAGCATGCACAATGGAGTGCACCATTGTCTATCTGGCACAGGTAGGTTATGTCACCATTTATTTATTTTTTCCTGGAGAGAGGCTGATGACTTAGTGGATTTTCATTGTCCTTTTTACTGGCACAAGTGGTGGCACTTTCGTCATTTTCTGCATGTTCCTTTCAACATTTCCTTCTCCAACAGTATCCCTGTTTTGTAGCTGCTGAAACATGGCCTCTGCATTGGGTATATAGTCCACGATGTACAATTTTTGTCAGCACATCTTTTTATAGTACCTCCAACACCATCTGCAACCCCCTTTCCATGTTTAGCTTCAAAACAGTTCCAGCTGATATATTTGAAACATTTTTTGCAGGGCTCTTATGATAGACAGTAGGTAAAAGTTGCCCTTTTGTGTGTATTGAGTGGCTAGACCAGTGATCTTCACTTTTTTTTTTCCAAAAGAGCCATATTGACAGATCAAAGTCAAGGGGAGAGCTGCAAAATCACCCCAAGTCACTCAAATAAAATAATTTAAAAACAACCCACTTATGAACAAAAAAGAAACCGCCAGCACATTATCTGTTTAAACAAAATGTACCTTAGTACTGATATGAGTGGAAGCTGTAGTGCATGTCCTTGACTTTCTTCACGTTGTATTTGTAATTTGTTGTTGCAACCACAGTGAGGCATTCAAGATGGGCACGGGCCAGTCGGTTTCTCTGTTTTTGCTAGTGTTCATGTTTGAAAATGTTGACTGTGTAAAAATTTCAGATTTTAGCTATTACCCCAATCCCATGAAGAAAACACACGTCATCAATAGCAATGAATACCAAAGTCCATGCTCAAAAATTAATATGCTGTAAAATGTGTACAGATGAAGATGCCCCCTTCACATTTTCGCCTGCCCCCTCATGTAACCATGTCTAGAACTAGACTTGTAAGATGATCCTACTTTCTTCACTGCAGATGACAGCAAGTGCGGAGAAGCGCGGCCGGTGATGATCAGCTGATCCATCTGAGATTAACAGGACATTTTTTTTACGTATTTTGGCCAGCGGAGAGTCAGTGGACGCGCACGGGGGCTGATGATGAGCTGATCCATCTAAAACTTAACAGGACTTTTTTTTACATTTACCGGCCAGTCGGACCTGCCTCCTACTCAACAAGTAGATTAACACAATATTATTTGTAACACCACTTCAAAGATTGTCTGTCGAAACAGGTCTCACTTGTAAACAAGTCTATGAGGCTCAATATGACATATTTGTTTAAATAAAGGTTGAATGAATGAATGAAAAAACAGAAGCCCGAGCTGACATGCACAATTATTGCGCAATGCGCCAGAATATTTTAAAAATGTATTGTTGTAATCGGTCACGAGAGCCACCAATAAAGCATGGCGAGCCGCATGTGGCTTGGGAGCCGCGCAATGAGTGTCCCTGGGCTAGACCATCACTGAAGAAATGAAGGTGAGTGATCAGAGGATACTGCTTCCTCACCATCTTTAACACAGGACTGAGACGGGCCCAGATAGTTGGGGGATCATGCTGCCTGGAAGGTGAGATGGAACAGAATGCTGTTGGAGATTTTTCAGCTACAGTGTATGGCATTCCAACGTGGAGGGTTGTCTGCTGATGTAACCCTCCAAAATGGACCAATTGGATTACTTGATAATACGTACAGGAGTAATTCTTACTGAAATCTACAATAGGTCTGATACTCTCTTTTGTCTTCCTTCATTCTGTCCCTTTGGCACTTTTCTTTTAGTCAGGTATTACTGCCTTCTTTCAGGGTCTGCATCACGACGAGCCCAATAGCGCCTCTGGTTTTCAGCAGCAAACACTGCAATTCCCTGACAGACAAATTCATATTGCTTGATCAATCTTTTTGAAAACCGTAAGACAAATAAATCCATCATACATTTGCAGTAAATAAGAATTTATGGAGGAAACACAATTTTTCTGGACCTCTCAAGTCCACCCTGTTAGATGCATCCACCCTGTTATTATAAAAAAAAAAAAAGTAACAGGGTGGACAGTAACAGGGGGACATTTTCAGCTAATGTCAGACATTGCTAGTCTTATAATGAAAAACAAGCTAGTACTTGATGACCATTGAGTAAGATTTTTTTTTTATGTATTTACTAGCAATACCTTATAAAACTACATAAAGTATCAGTTTTTATTACAAATAATGGTAACAGAGTGGGGCAGCACGGTGGCACAACTGGTAGAGCTGCTGCCACTCAGCGAGCAGGTCCCCAGTTCAAATCCTGCTCCGGGTGCCTTTCTGGGTGGAGTTTGCATGTTCTCTCTGTGCATGCATGAGTTTTCTCCTCCCCTGTGGCCTATTCAACATGCATCCGCCTGATTTGGAGAGGTTCCATATGGATACCATTCTAACCCAATGATGGACGGTCTCATGGCCACCTTACCCAAAAAAGAAAAAAATAGAAAAAAAAAATACAGAAAAAATTAAACAGATCAAGCGTTTGCATGCACACCGTTTGGGTTGTGAATCGGCGTAAACAACCAGCTTTGTTCTGATAAATTATTTCAGCTCACGCTGCATAAACAAAAAATAACCAGAATGGGGCGTTTACATGACGCGTTTTTATTCCGAACAGCCGTTTGATCC